TAGGGCGAAATAAAACGATATACAAATTTATTAATTAGAAACATTACGACGCTACGGCTAATAGAAGAAAAATCATTTACTTATAAGCTTAATTTTGGCTTAATTTTTTAATAAATAATAACAAGATTTAACATTTAACAACAGTCACAATTAGTTAATTGTTAATTCTATTGCCATGATTAAAAATGATTAATTTTTAATCGTGCCTTATTCTATAGTTAACAATTCACTAGTTGTTAATTGTAACTATTACGGTTGATAATTAGCTAATTGTGAATTTTGACTATATAGTTACTGACAATTATTTGTTAATATGAATAATTTGCAAATTTAAATGGCAAAGTAAAAAAAAAATATAATTAACGAATGCAATTCAATTATTTATACGAAACAAGATTGTTTAGTATAAATAATTGAATTGGAAACTGAAATTAATATTTCATTGTGATTAATATCTACATCAGTTACTGATTCATCAAGGGACGCATTGCTTCAATTCTTAATTGAGTGATTCCCAACTCTGACTGTAAGGCCCGTATTTTAAAAGACGTCTCAAGTGTCGGTTGAACTCTGATTGCCTGAAACTAGTTTTAAGTGCAGATCAAATCTTAAGTATCGATCTTATTATAGAACGCGTTTTAAGTTTTACTCAGTTGAAACTAGTTTCAGGTATTGATTTGAACTTACAGTCTGTTCTCAATTACGTTTCCGCGTGATTGACACTATTATTCCACATTACGCAGCTAATTATTTAAAAAATAATTTTCTTTTACAAAAATAATTTCTGTGAATTTGTATATAATATACTATTGCCTAGTGTAGCAATGTTAACATATTAACAAGGTTGTTGTTCGTTCAAAATTAAGTATAATAAATATTAAAATAAAAATGACTAGCTGTATGAATAGGCTATAACGGAACGTTCAAGTTATTTATCAACACTTGTCATGTTGAAATGTCAAACGATGTTTTAATTTGATATTTCTAAAATTTAAATTACTATACTTTTAACATAAACCAAAAGGTTGCGGTAATTTAAACTGGTATTGTGTGTGTAAAATGTGAATTTTGGTGAATTTCATATCAATTAAGGTAAATGAAAGTGAAATTGATGATAGTATGCCAAGTAATTCTTTCGTAAATAAAGTAAAGTAAATCTTTCGTAATTATTCAAAAAGAAATCATCGTAAAACACATTCATTTTCCCTAAATGCCCTAGAAATCACCGCTTGAGACTAGTTTCAGCTTGTCTCACGTAAACAAAGATCACAGCTGTCAAAATCTATACCTGAGTAATGATTTCGACATAAACATCGTTCTAAAATAAGCTATCACTCACTTGAGTATGGATCGGTGAATCTCGTTTTAAGTGACGTTCAATAATAAAATCTCTACTTAAAATTAGTTTTAAGACTAGATTCACGACTGAGACACCTTTTAAAATACGGGCCTAGGTGAAACTGCAGTGTACAACTATGTTATAGATAGTTCAACTCAGTTGTGCGCGCGGCCCTATGTGTGCGTGGGCTTGTAAATATACAACTTTCATTCGTGTGGCAGTGACGCGGCAGTCGGACGACGACTGCCACACGAATGAAAGTTGTATATTTACAAGCCCACGCACACATAGGGCCGCGCGCACAACTGAGTTGAACTATCTATAGTTATAACTAATATGATGTGTTTACTTCATAAGATTATAGCGTTTAATTATCGTTCGACGTCGTGCCTATATCAACTGACCTGAATTAATGTGACATTTAAATTGTTACAAGTAGATAGAAGCAGTCTTTTCTTCTTGATGATGCTTACATTGTTGCTCTAATGAAAGCTAAGAAAGAGTTTTAAAATATCGCTCTAAATAGAACACATTACATGTGTCCGATTACGTTACCTCGTGTAAACGCTTCTTGCCTTGCCAATGGTTATGGTCTTTGATTGTATATGTATATCAACTATACTCTAAAGGTTTTAATACTACATTTTAACAGTAAAACAAACATTTTAAAGTATCAAGTTCAGGTAGCACTTTTTAACTAAAATGTAAAATTTCATTTTAATTAAAATATTTTTTCCTTTCTTTCTACTTCTCTCTTTTTAGTAGTAGCTCCAAGACGACATGAGTTTAAAGTTTTGCTTTTTGCTTAAAATATATGTCAAAAGTTCAGCAAAGACATACTATGTATATCCAAGTAGATTTAGCTAAGGAAAGTCAAGGGTAACTACTAAAAACAATATTCAAAGTGTTTCACAAAATTCTATTACTAATTTGGATTAATTATAAATTTTCCCACGGAACTTGAGTTTAAGATGCCTTTCAAACAGTACATATTGATTTTAGAGTTCGATTCGGTAGATGACGACCATTCGAGAATATAAATAGAGTTTTGGTAACTTTTTCCTGCTTTATTGTGCCGGATAATGCTGAAATTAATTACTTAGTTTAGTTTTAGCGGCACGATTTCATGACTAAAAATCGGATGTTGTCGAAACAAGTAAATATTTACTTCCATGTGCCAAATAAATTACTTTTACGTAACTAACGTAAGTTACGAGTAAGTTACGTATTTTGATAGTTTTATTTTCATCAAACAACAGCTAGACGTTTTATTAGAATGTAGATTTACCTTCCTTTAATGTTTTAACGCAATACCTGCAGTAATTTGCTATGCAAAATACAGATTATGTTTCTATGTAATGTAGCTTATGAGTCGTGTAAAACCCGGAAATCTAAGGCAAAACTAAATTTTTGCATAAAGATATTTCGAGAGATTCGTTTTTGTGCAGCGTAATAAAATCGAGACAATTATCGTCTAACAGGCAACCCTCTTAAACTTTGAACTGCTACCGTCTATAAAACTCGAATGTAGAAAACAGTACGTACGTACTTACGATTCGATCTGAATATTGATTTAAATTATTAATATACAAGAATAACTTCACATATCTCACACACTGCCGTCTAATTCCAAACTAGGCAGAGCCTGTGCTATAGTTACTATACTGTTGATAAACATACTTAGATATTTCTATATAAATGCATATTATAGATAAATTATGCAATTATTCCGTGTGGTGACGGATTAAGAATACAAATTGTTACCACCCCAATTCATCCCGTGGGTGTCGTAAGAGCCGACTAAGGGAGCAAACTAAGCAGGACAACAGCACTGCAAAGAGAAGGAAAACTTGAAACAAACCCTATACCAACCCGTCTGGCCAGCGTGGTATAGTAGGCCAAAACCTCCTTTCTAAGGAGAGGGCTATGTCCAGCAGTGGACTAGTATAGGCTGTTGATGTGATGATATGCAATTATTTGTCCTGGGTGGGAATCAAATACACGACCTCCGGCTTAGTAGTCAGGGTCACTAACCTTTAGACCAGCAAGCCTGTCAATGTCTAACGTCGGCAGTTATCTAACATGTGTGATTTTTTTGGTATCAAAAAGTAGTTAGTGCACTAATGCTACTGACAATTTTTTCCCCTATCATCTCCATCTAATAGAAAACTCTGGTTTTGTGTCATATATAGCCAAATACTAAATCTACTCATGACAAATTTCTGTTATTGAACTAGAGATTGATATTCCGTCTAAATAATGATAGATCAGTGTCATTACGTTGAAACACGCAGCCGCTCCAATGTTCTCACGAGTTTAGTGAACTGAAAATTACGGTAACGAGAATATTTAGGAAAATGCTTACAATCGTTTTATTTTTGTTTAAGCGTCATTGTAAGTTTTTTTTAAATCGATTTTTAATGACTCATTATTACAGAATTATCATGGAAACTACTTATGACTATGCTGAATTTTATATTAAAACAATTACATATATCTCACACGTACAATCACAAGCCGCTATATAGCTATCTATTTGGGTTGTTTAGTGACTTTGAAATGTGAATAAAGTAGTGGAATGAATGAAGTAATGCTCATAATGACAAGAATTTCAATTTTCGTGTAAAAAGAAACTAGTGGAATGGTTAAGCAATTATTGGAATTGAGCAAGCCAATTGCGTGTCACTTGCTACATTTTCGCCGTTAGACACTGTCTTGGTCTCTGAAACTATAAACCGCCTGTTGGCACCGGCAAACTGTTTTAATGGCTCAGAGATTTATAATGCCCGTAGCCGTTAGTGTTTGTAGTTTAAACAATCCCTATACTAAAATCACGTAAGAATATAAATTTATTTTAGTTTGTTAGATATTCTCACTGGTTCGTCGTGTATGATTTAATATGTAAAGGAAAGCAGAAGGTTTTATGTACAATATTGTTAGTATAATATTGAATATTAATGTTATAAAATACTAGCTGTACCCTGCCGCTTCGCTGTACCAATGTATCTATCTGATCTGCTCTAGCACCCTACGCCTTTTTTTTTAAACTATAATTGATGGGATAATGTGACAAACTATTTAAATTATTACAAAGTTTTAATTTAATTCGACGTTTCGAAGTGGGTCAAAATTATGTTCAAAGATTCCGTTACATACATACATACCAAGCTAATAAAAGCGTGTTAAAAAACCCTATTTGAAGCGTATAGTGTTAATAGTAGAACTTTTTGAGCTTTGTGATAAATAATTAAATTGTGAAGCAAGCAGTTCTCAATATGAGATATTATTTATTGCATAAATTTCGTGACTAATCATTAAATTTGGAGAGACGCATAAAGTTTGGCGGGGAGGGAGTTTATGAGTAAGATACAGGACAAGACAGATAGAAGGAAGGGCAAGTTTTTAATATATATACCACAGTTTTCTTACAAAAAGGTTATCTAACCCAAAGGATATTCCCCAATCATACTGAAAGATCCTCTTAGACCCTCTACATAAATATATTAGGGTTTTTTATAGTCTATGTACGAGTAAAACTATATAACCAAATATCATATCGGTATCATTGGTACTTTGGTTCTATCCTCTCAAAGAACAACTTACCACAGTAAATATACAAATCTTTAAATTTTAGATCTCACATATTCTAATTAATTCCCAGGAGTCATGGTGTCGTCGGTGGCGGCCCACGCGCCGCTGCTTTTTCACAAGCGCTTGCGCACATGGATCCAAAGCAACATCGAAAGTCGACATCGAAAAGTCTGAGGGTAAGGATCTAGGTCAATATATAAGGGCTAGCAATAACTATACCATTCATAAAATGCATTTAATATAGAAATTAAGAGACCATCACCACATTACGGTACGCTTTGCTTGGGCATCTTATTATCTATCTATATTTAAACATTTTCTAAATTCTAATTTAGATACATGATGTTTATTCTAAATATTTATAGTAATAGGTACTACATTTACTAGCAATAATTTAAGAGTGTTATTTGAATACAGATCACATTTTATGTTAGCAATAGCTTATGACAATATGTATACTTATAAAATTAATTTAAAGACTTATTGCTATTTAAACTATCGTAACACGATTCTAAAACTTCAAACTCTTCGAACACCATTTCGCCAAACTTGCCGGGTGTGACTTTACCTTGCTCTAAAGTATCATTTAGGTAGTAAAATTTTGTTTCAAAAGTTTGGGAATTTGTTGCTTGTTTGTCGGTACCGGTTAAAGTACTATCTGTACATTCTTCTTTTATCTCTTCTTTTGCTTTTGGTTCCTCTTTTTTGGTTTCTGTAGTTATAGTCGTCTGTTGAGGTATAACTTCAAGTTTTTTAATATTGGTTTCATATTTTTTGATAGCACCTATCTTTGTTTTTATTACGTCTTTTTTGATTTCATTGTCCTTTGATTCAAATGGTGTCTTTATTATTCCTTTGCTATAACTTTCTAATCTGCAAATTTTATTTTTGACTGAATTTTCTTCATCGTGAAACAGTAATGGGGGATCTTCTTTTGATAACTGTTTCTCATAATTATGATTTGGGTTTTTATTTTCATCGGCACCGGTTAATTCCAACCGACTGCTACAACTGTTAGATTTAATCAACTTAAACTTGAATCCCGGAAATGCCTCAGTACGTTTATTTACACTCTGATTTTGAATTTTGTCGGATGATATATTGTTATTTTGTTTGTTGGCAGGTGGTTGCTTATGTTTCTCTGCTGTCAGACACGAGCACTTGTCTCCTCCACATTTCATTTGACATGAATAACAGTCTCTACTGCAGTTTTTTTGCAAACTCTTAATTTCTTCCATTATAGCCTTCGTCATAGGACTTACTGTTGAATTTGTCTTGGAATTTAGTACTTTTCCACCATAATATGTAACCGAAGTTCCACACTCTCTGATTTTCTTCAAGATATCAGGGCTAACATACTGACTTTCACAAATAAAATCTTGGTTCATAGAATCACACAAATATTCATCGCTTGAACTGTATACCGATTCTTTTAATTTTTTCTGTGAATATGGGCTCAAGGCATCATTTTCATACTCGTTATTTGAGCTAAGATCGCCACTTGATACTCCACTAGATAAACTAGCATTATCCCATTTCTTATTACCGAAATTAGTATCTATCGTTAATTGTCTTATAACTTTCTTTCTGCCATTCTTATTTTCTTTCGATTCTTCACTAAGATTCCTATAAGATGTAGCCCTTCTTGTTAAACCAACGTTTTCCTCAATCAATGGTGGGTCATGTGACATAGGACTCTTCATCTTTAGCGTGTCCTCAAATAGATTTCTTACTTTTTTGACGGTATCAGGATTTGGTAATTCTTCTTCAATGATTTCTTTATTCACTCTAATCGGGTGGTAAAAGAAATGTCGGCGTACTGAACTTTTTGGCTTCTCCGTTGGGACAGTATTCTCAGTTTTTTTCAACAGATTCGTTGGAATTTTGCATGTATCTGTGTTTTTTCTCGGTGCTGGCTCAACTTTTGTTCTTACTGGTTCAATTATAACTATATTATTATTAACTAATAATTCTTGAAAACTATAGTCTTGTAAGTATTGTAACAATCCATCGAATTGAGCTTCCTTACGATAGTTTGCTATCATACTATTTTTGAAAAGTTCTGACTTCATTACTTTATATCTCACGTGATCAAAGTCATCACAATCTTTATCATAGCTCTTTGCTTTTATAAGTGTAGCTTGAGTTTTCTGATTTTCATTATTATCGCAGGTCAATTCTACTATTTCTATCTCAGGAGTGTCTCTACATGAATCTAACTCATATTTCTCCACGTCATTTTTATCGTACGTGTTAGGATCAGATTCTTTAACAATTTTATCAACAGGTGATTCTTCTATTTCAGAATCGCTTTTTACTTTTTCAGTTTCTTCTTTCCATAGCTGTAATTTAGTTTGGCTAACTTTACGTATGCTGTCAACAATTTTAACACTCTCTAAAGATTTAATAATATTCCCCACTGATATTTCTGATAAACATTTGTCCTCATTTTTTTCACAAATCTTTTCTTCCTTCCTTTCAACATTGTTGTCATCTTTATTATTACTGCATATTTCTTCAGGTTTTACGGGGTCAATTTTAATATGTTCTTTACAATCTGGATGTTGATCCACAAGCTTAGACCAATAGTTTTTCACAGAGTTAATTTTTTCTTGGTATTCGATATCAGTTTTTATTGCATTATTAATTTTTTCTTTGACCGTGATTTCGTTTTTAGGAAATTTAGTTTCTTCTTTTATATCCATAGTTACGTCAGTTTTCTTATTTATATCCGCATTTTGCTTACTAAGACTTTCTAAGTTAGCTGGGATATTTTGTTTTTTACTTTTAGAATCAACAACTTGTAAGACTTGAGGTCTAGTCATATTTGAGCTTACTTTGGTAAGTGTATGTGCGGGTGGATCTGTCTTATCGTCTTTGATTATTAGTTTCGGTGGTGGTTTTTCAAACTTGTTTTGAACAAATGCGATTTTATCACTAGTTTCTTTTTTCAATTTCGGTATAGTTGTTTTGATGACTTTGTTTAATTTTATAGTTACAAATGGTTCTTTAGGTATGTAGTAACTTGATGTATCAATACAATTTTCAACTGTAGTGTTTTTAGTTTCTTTATGATTTTCTGTAATGATGTCCAAATGTGTCGTTGGTTCAGTTTTTTGTATGATTTCGCCTTTTGTGATTGTATTTGATTGTTGTTCGTTTTGCAGTTCTAGTAATTCTGTAGAGTTTTGAGCAAGAGGTGGATCAATTACGATGGTTTGGTGGCCACTTAGTGGGACTAAGGCAATGTTCGACTCTGCCGATGTTTTGAAAGATTGTACTCGTGATAATAATGAATTGGTATTTGATTCTCTTGCAGCTTGCGATGCTAATGCAGGCTCATTAATGTTTATTAAGGTTTTCTCTACAGATTCTGGGCTAGGAATCCGATCTGTCTCGTCCTCAGACGGCTCCCGTTGACGAAGAGAATAATGTTTTTTAATACCAGTTTTTTGCTTTTTGTGCTGTAATGGATCATTAATATTATCGTTTGAAGTAGATTTTGATATATTTATTTCGGGCCTGTAACTATTCGATATTATTAGGCTTTCAGATTTCGTTATTACTTTGTTGTTTCGTATTGTTCCTTCTATTTCATTAAGTTCTCTTTCGTTTTGGTGGTTATCAGAACGAAAATAATTTATTTCTTTTTCATCTGCGTTAGAGCTGTCAACTGTTATAATAGATTTTAAATCATCGTCAAGTTTATTGAAATTTTGCAATTGTTGTGGTTCTGAATATTCCGGCAGGTAAATATAATTATTTTTCTGAATTTTGATATTATGTGTAGAATCGGATGAATTTTTATTCAAATGACCGTAATTTTCAGAGTTTTTGGATGACAAGATATCCCGGAAATGTGTTTGTGCTATTTCATACGTGTTTTCACTGGGTAGATCCTCTGGGTCTTCCTCCCTGAGTTGCGCGTCAATGCGTTCTGATTTTCGCAGACACTTGCTAATATTTATGTCAGGAAGAGAGTAATATTGGTTTTCTATTAAAGTGGTGATAAAAGGTTCTGTTGTTATGTTTTGGGATGTGTATTGACTATTTGTAGAATAATTATCGCTATCTATATAAGTGTTACTCACTTGATCTTCGTTACTTAAAACTTCGTTGAATAAGTTATTATTCTTTTTTAGGAATGAATCTCTGCGAATATCAGCAAATGTTTTCTTTTTATTTACTTGTATATAAACAGGATCAATATCTGGATGATTTTCCAAATTTATAGTAGTTGACGCAGCTAAAGCGTTCTCCTTAAATTGAGAATCACAATATTCATCAATTTTTTCAGCTAGAGAGTTAGCCAAATATTCTAACTTTTGAGATTTGTCTGAAGAAGCAATAGATATTGAAATATAAGACGTTATACTATCGGGAGGGCTAGAAACAATTTCATCATTTTCAGATGCTATAGATTGTAAATCATCTTCGTTTATCTTTTCACTGATTAGTATTGAGGTGTCCCGTTCTGAGCTTGCGTGTATAGTTTCTTTTCTTTCACTTTTTTGGCTTTTTGTCGAATTTTTATCGCTTACTTCTGTAGTATCAAGCTCAACTGGTTTATCGTTGCTGCACCGTGTTAAACTATCGTTTGTAAAAGATGTTAGTGTATTATTGTTTGATTGATCTTTGTCTTCGTTGTCAGTATCATGTTCGTCTGTAGTCACATATAGTTCTTTGCTTAGATTCGGTGATGCAATAAGACGATCAGATTCGGGTGAACTGTCTTTGTAGCTTTTTCTGTGGGCCTCAAAGTTGTAATGTTTTCTAACGTAATTGGAATCTAAGCTATCAATCTCGCTGGGATTATGCGAATGTCCAATGCTGTCTTCAGAATGATTAGTCTGTTTTATTTCTTCATTCAAATTTGGCCAACTTCCACTTGCTGATCGGGAATGACGACTTTCGTTACGTGACACCACTTCTTCCTTTTCTGATCTATTCTCAGTATTTTCTGGTTTTTCACTTTCCTTTTGTGCGTTTATGTCTCCAAAACAAGAAGCGGTGCTATCAATATAAATACTTTCCAGAACTTCCTCTTTTGTTTGGTACTTGGCACGTCCTGGCAACCTGAAACGAAAATAGTAAACATTTTAGTTGTTATTAAATATATACAAGAGCTATTAAACACTTGACTTAAGTCTCAGATTAATTCACGAAACTGTAACTGAGGTTGCGATTTATCATCGAAGTTATTAGAACATCAAATATAAACAAAATAGCTTAATGATAAGAGTTGATAATTATAATTAATAATTACAATATTAATTAGGCGCCTTTTTACTGCAGGTGTTTAAAGTTTTAAAGTAAAGAAATAAAAACTTTTGTAAGATTTAAAAAGCCTTTGCATGCTAATAAAAAAAGTGCTTATGCATATCTAAGAAAAAATTACATCTCGTAATGCTAAGTAAGTGAGGCAGCTCAAAACCTCCCCTGCCCTATTTCTGGGAGATTGGGAACTTAAAGGACGATACCACACTTGTGATTTTTGAGTTATAGGTGTCTTTGGGCGGTGGTTGTCACTCACCATTTGGTGAGTGACAACCGCATGTTTGCTCGTTCGCCGCTTATTATAATAAAAAAATATTTAATAAATTACTCAATTAATGTATTATTTATCAAAAACATACCTGTCTTTGAAGCAAGGTTTGTCAAACAAGCGAGCGCGGGGTATCAATTGAGATCTCTTGCTTTTGGCGTGATTTTGTATTTGAAGATCGTTAAACGTTTCTTCTCTAATCACTGCCAAGCTTCGACTGCGTCGTAAGTTAGCACCATCAGGTTCTTTGTGTTTGCACACTTTACCGTAACTGCCGCTAAACTCAGTGTCGGAATTCGAGAATCGTTTTTGTATTAGTTCTTCGGCTGCTTTCGACCTTGTCAAGTGCTGGTAAAACTCGTCCTGGGGTAGTTGTACTGGTAATTTGTAGTACTCAGCTAGTTTACTTTGGTACTTTTCGTGTTTCTTGGTTTTATTTTCACATATGTCTTTCTCTTTTCCTTTCGTTTTAGACAGCTTCCTCTTTTTTGGACGTTCTTGACTTTTTTTAGACTGTACCGAATGCCGCGAATTGTCAAACTCTAACGTTTCTGTAGGATTCTCAAAATACTGGATATCACCGACGGTGTTTGCCGCGGACTTGTGCTCGTCCAGACTCGATTTCCTTTCAACAAGTTCTCGAAGTCGGCTTCTTGTTGAGCTTGAGTTTGACGTAACGCTCTCCGGCCGTTTGTTTAAGTATTCCAAATTTGGAGAAGACCGTCTAAATAGGCTTGTTTTAATCGAGCCGAAGTCCGGGTCGTCTTGACAAGAAGCCGCTGAGAAGTTCTGTGCCCTTATCCGGTCAACGTGATTCTGGCTAGAATACGACGCGACCGAGTCCACTGAGTGTCTGAAACGTAAAATGCCATAGATTAGATTAAGATGTATTTGCACTTGATAATACTGTTTGCATGAGATTGTAGATTATGGTGTGGTTAACTCGAGTTATATTCCCAATAGTAACGTTACGTATCGTCGGTATGGGTTTTTAATATATTGTCGCTTGAGATATTGGCAGCTTGCCAGACTTTACAGATACATATTTCTCGGTTGTGTAATTATGCATAACGAAAAATATTTAACACAGTTAAAAAAGTTAAAATCGGTTTGGTGCACCATAGTTAAAAATACAAATTAATTAATTTAGCGTAAGTTATATTGAGCTCAGTCGGTTAAATGCTAAATTTTCCTTTAGGTTTATTATTCTAGACAAAATGTTCAGATAAATGAAACAGCTTTAAACAGGTATTAGTGAAACGTATATTGTAAACGTCCAAACTAAGAAACTTAAGAAAGTGTCGTCTTTTAGTAAAGAACTGACTGGCTGGCTGAATTGCTCTCGGGCAATACAGTCAGACACTGTTGTACTTGTTTTTAGAACACTTTTTTTTTCTTTCCGGTTTAGACCAACATAATATGAAAGTTGTTAACCATTGCACTGATACAAAACTTAACTGTACAAAGTCCAAATAATTTTAAATGCCATGATGATAATGACGTGAGATTCTCTTACTGACATAAATACTCTTAGAAAATGTATTTAACGACTTTTAAAACGAATGACAACTGCGGAGGACATTTGAAACTTTGCCAAAACGGCCTGTTTCTAACAGAAAATGTCTTGTATTTAGAGAATAATGCTGATGGCATTCGTTGAAGGATTTTAATGTTATTTTAATAATTTGGGTGTTGTTTCTCATTCTATCCTCGAAGTATGCACAAGGATTACTCAATTAATGTAAGATGTTTGTTTTACTCGTGGTAAATAATTTATTTTAAAAAGAAGAGATTTTTTTCGAGAATACATGATACCTTAAAGATTATAATGTATGAAAGAAAATGCAGAGACCGTAATTTTAAAATTAAATATGTTACAATCTAACAAATAACGATAAAATTGCTACATTAAGCTCAATGTTTATGTTGGCCTAACACTTTACGTAAGATTATAACATGACAGTGCATGTTACACTATGCACCATGATATATACTAAAACTATTATGGTGGAAATTTGTAATCTCGATCTCTAGTGTATTTATATGGATTTATGGTAATACATATGCACTATGTTGTTTGTAAAACTGTATATGAAGGTGGTGGTGTTGCCAACTATTATATAGTTTATAACTCGCCCATATAATTTAATACTATTGCCGTCAATCGGTCACTTAAGGACTTAAAGTTGGGAATGGTATATGTAAAGAAAAACCAGATGGCTGTAAATAATAACTTGGGAAGATCACTTTTTTTTCTTTTAATTAAAATTGGCCGTCGTCAGCACCCCTCTGTCCATATTTACAAATCAGACTGTTATCTTTCTATAAATAACTTTTGTTCTGCATGTACCAATGATTTAAATAAAGGTCAGTGTAGATTTTCCATGTATTTAATTGCATCTAAGGAATATTGAAGAAACCACTGAAAGATCGTAAACTCTAAGAGGTGTTTTGTGATGAAGACTTTTAATTCTACCATATTTCACGCATCAAGTATGCTGTAAAGTTGAAACGATGTGAACAATAAATCTATAAACTTGTTCTGAAGAAAAAAGTGAGACGTAGAATTCGGCATGGTAGTTTTTTCTTGCTCAATAATGCAACACGCCTAATACTATACAGTGCTCCAGAGACAAAGTAAACTAATTACGTGTATTAGTTAGTATTAAGAATAAATTGTATTAAGTAATATTCCTTATCTCATATTGAATTTATGAATATACGAGTAAATTAGCTACAATATTGCAAGACATTTAAACAGAGTAGTAACCTAGTAGTTACAAGAACATGGACAAAAATTAAATTATTCTGCTATTCAGTTTTCTAACGCCTAACTGAGAGTTATATTTAAAAGCAAATCTTTATTACTATTATTTACATTAATTACTTACTCAAGTGACTATGGGACATCAAACAAAACCTACATCTTTGCATCTTAATTTGTTTGTGGTATTTTATGTACATCAGTCATATTAGTCGCTAATATTATTGTTTGCCGGGTAACAAACACAGGAAAAAAGGTACTAAACTGTTTTGTTTTTACCTATCTATAAATAAATGTCAGGGCCAAATCTATTACGACGATTATTATAAAAAAATATTCCCCATATAATATGTCAGTGTTACCATCTTAACACTCAGAAAGACTGTTGCCCTACCTATTTTTACAGATTATTTCATCATCAGCCTATCGCAGTCCACTGCTGAACATAGGCCTCTCCCATTGCATGCCACTTAGATAGATTTTGGGTTTCTCGCATCCAGCTCCTGCCAGCCATCTTGAGCAAATTCGTCACTCCATCTGGCCTGTTCGCGTCCTACGTTTGCTGAGACGAGGTCTCCTCTCAAGAACTCGTTTTTCCCAACGGTTGTCGGTTCTGCGGCTAATATGACAGACTGCCACTTCAGCTTGCTAATGCGGTAGGCTATGTCGGTGACCTTGGTTCTCTGCCGTATCACCTCATTCCTGATACGATCCCTTAGAGAAACGCCTAGCATAGCCCTTTCCATAGCACGTTGAGCGACTTTGAACTTGTGGACCAGCCGTACCGTAAGTGTCCACGTTTCGGCTACGTATGTCATGACGGGTAGGACGTACTTATTGAAGACTTTCGTCTTAAGGCACTGTGGAATCGACGATGAGAAGACTGGACGTAGCTTTCCAAATGCTGACAACCCAACTGAATTCTTCGTTCCGAGAAATTCCGAGTTTCTACCTAATTGCAATGTCTTACCGAGGTACACATAATTTTAAACAACTTCTAATCTCATTCATAATTTCGTAAAATATTTGTCATTCTAATGTGTCAATTTTGTAAAATAAATTAAGTTTTGCAGATTTACCAAAATTTATTTCGTAACAATCGTAACAATTTCCGATCCGCTCAGGAAAATTTTGTTCATGTATATTTTATTTTGTGGTGGTGTTTCAGAATAAGAAATGAAAGAATAAACATCAGTCTGATCTGGCTTGTCCTTTATTTTTGTTCACGCATATGCGCCCATTACGACGTCTGCTCACGTTGACATCGTACAACACAAGATAATATCGGAATTTGTATTCTAGATTAAATTTTGTTGATTGAGTACGGTTTCAATGAGTGTGGTGGGCTTAAGTAATAATTTCTGTTTCGTATTTAACTTTGAGTAAATGTTAATATTTAGATTAAACGACATAACAGCGCTGATAGTAATTCTGCGAACAATTTCGATGAGGAAATATTTAATATAAATTAGACAGCTAAAGTAAACTTGAATGGCCGGATTAATACTTTATTTAGAATATATATGTTGTATTAGATACCTTAAAGACTTCTCAAAATAATTGTCGTTTTTACCCTGGCAACTTCAAGTTTGATTGAGCAATTACAAATACGGGGCTATTGACCTATACGTATGAGACACTTAAAATTATTATCTACTCATCTACACCTTCACCACGCTAAAAATATTACAGAAGGAAAAATACATATGGATGACCAGTGTAAAATCTTTCATTTATTAATGAGAGTTATTTGTCATCTATTTCCTTCTTTAATATTCAAAAGAAGTTATAAGCGATTTAAAATAAGTTACTCGTGAATCGCGTAATGAATAATAAATAAAAAAAAATACTTGTGCTTAAAACAAAGTTAATTAAAAAATGTCGGCAGGTCTTTTCTGTGGTAGTTTTTATGGTTTGAAACGGATAAGACGAATTTATATTAAGTCTAGGCAGATAAACAATTTTTTTAAATATGTGGTTAAGAAGTCACATGTATTCTCGTCGCTCTCGTTTAATATGTGGAATCAAATTCTGAAAATGGAGTCAAGAAGCTTTAGGGGTTAAAACACTCCAAGCATGATAATATGTCTGCGACTATGGAAATTATATTAAGGACAGTAAATACAGGACGACCTCAATTTTACATAGCGTTCCACGTACACAAGAACAATACTCTATTAAGTAGAGGAAACGGAAATTTGTAGCGCATCTGCATCTCGTTTTCTCAAGTATATTTATTCAACAAAGGCAAATAGCATAATAACTAAAGTTCCATGGTTCTATTCTTTTTGGAAGCCCAAAGTATTGAATTATTTATTCGAAATAAGTTCTTTATTAAAGAAAGAAGAGTATTACATCACATACATAAGTTTCTGTTCAGACTGATGACGTTAGATGAAACTAGTACTCTTGGTTTTTAAAACTGCATTTTATAAAGATTACCTTCCAGCATATAAGTAAATATAGATATATTTCTACTGATTCGTAGGATGTTCAGAACCTCATAAATAAGGAATTGGGTTGGTAGCTTGGAGGTAAATGTTTCAGGGAGCCGGCAGTCATATCGCATAACTTTGCGATATGACTGCCAATTTTACTAATTATATTTTTTTTTTAAAAGTGCTGTCGAAAACCCGTTTCGAAACTATAAGATGATCATATTTTATTAACATTAGTAAATTAAGAGTTACTTACATCTACAGGAAATAATATTAGAGACAAAATACATTCACACAAAAATTACATATAAATTGCCTGCTTTTGAGGCCTCTTTCTAATTCGAAACCAAGATGTAATATATTTCTATTATATATTTCTCCATCTTTGTCGTAAGCGAGTATATTCGAAGCACGTACCATCCGTAGCTCTGTCCTGATGCACTCGTTAAGTGGGGATTTGAGATAAAAAACTGCTAACACTTTCTTTTCAACGGGATAAATAAAATTTAGTGGCGAATGTTTCATTTCTTTTGATGTATTGGTACTTAAGTAAATATGTACTGTTCATTTATTTGTACTAATGTACATAAATTAAAAAAATATACATACAGTGGAACATAGAACCTCCTCCATTTTAAAGTCGTTTAAGAATACCATTGAATAACGAGTGTAACTCCGATTTAATGTCGGCTGACCTTTCAAAGTTTCAGCATACACTAATTATTATTAACATTGAATAAACAAGACTGTCTGAATTCCTAATTATTCTAGAAAAGCCTACTGAGCACCAATTATGATCTCAATTTAGTCGAGTACTATTTCGGCGTAGACTGTAATTCCAATTCCATTAACTTCGCCTGTTCATGCTTATTTATTCACGACTAGTAATGTCATAACAGTTTGATGAAGATTATTTACTATAAAAATACTTATTCGTAGTATTTGGCTATGTATCTGCATGGTAAACTAAAGAATCGGTATCTTACGATTAAATGTCTTTACTTGACATGTCAAAAACCAAGGCATTTCTTATGCAAATCTGATTGTTAACATTATATAACTTAAATTTTCAACACTAAATGTTATTGTCGTAGCATAGAACAAGCAAGGCTCTGCAATACAGCTTTTTCTTTAAGTCTGATCTAAATCATTGAAAATGTAGAAGTTAGGACTTACTATAAATTGTAGTTACTTGAACTCTAAAATTATGCACGATGTATTAAATAAAATAAATAATAAATACTTTGGAAAATAATATAATGTAGGAATAACAGTTGTACTATGTACAAAATATAAAGGTATTAGGACCTTTTGATGACTTTCTTATAACTTTTTTGTTTCTGTTGAGTAAGCTTGATAGAAGTGAACGTGACCGTTTTTGTAAAAGAAGTAACTACTCGTATTTTAGTACTCCACAGAAATGCCCTACCAGAATTAGTAATACTTGCGCAGGATTAGTAATAGTTTTTACGACCGATTCTTTTTTAACGTCAAATTAGACTACAGTACCTAATTTGTATTCAATTTGCTTAAGTGTTTATATTAAAACTTATTGCATGTGGTTTTGTGAAAGGCGCTTAACATGTACAGGGTAATTAGACATACTCGTAAGTTCCGTTCTAGTAATCACTTTACCGAGGGTAGCCTGCAGCGGGCTCACGGGCTTGTAGTCACGTCACGAGTGTTACAGACTACATACCTAGTTTTGCACCTAACTGATATATCTTGAATTAATGCAGTAGTTTGAATATGTTCTAAAATATCATCACAATCACGTTTGCTTATGTGTTTAAAATTAAGTTAATATATTTTTATTCTATTGATAAAATCGTCGAACAATTTTTCAATTATTGAAGTCCCCCTGCGAGTCTCGCACTCGCTATTTTAGTCTTTAATATCCTAGCATCCGCTTTTCAATACCCAGTACCAATTTAATTTTACGAACGTTTATTTATCCACTGCTGAATGTTATTTTATGATTTCAATAAACTGCTTTCATTATAAATTACTATTCTTCATCATTATTATCACAAATTTTTGGAAATCATTGAGGGGGGTGGGGGGACCGCGCCCATAGATGCTAATAGTTTTCTTTTAACCGTAGTTTTAATTACATGTACACAACTTTACTGCGAAATGTAAGTAGTGTTTAAAAAGTTAGATTATTCATCAATAAAACTGAAATAGTTATTGTTTTAAACGAGTTTTAATTATGCCTCATTCAAAAAGTATTTAATTTTTCAAACGAAATAAGACTTCCCGATTACTTCTTCGCAACTTTCTAACTTTTCTTAGCCCGCCCAAATATGTTCCCATATTTGTAGCCTCCATGGTACTACTTGAATAATTTACCTTTATTTATTGTATTTAGGTAAATATGGCCTGAAAGTCTAGGTTGCTGGTAAAGTATAAAAATATAGGTACTGAGATTTCGTAAACCAGCGGGTATATTATATTTAAAACAGATAATAATGTACTTTCAAAACACTCGCTCAGGGTCGGAATTCTACTTACGTTTTTTTAAAAAAAAACATACTACAGTGTTTTATATAAAAAAAATGGCTACAAAACCGAACAATAAAGAAAATCGTTTGAACGTTAAATCGCTGAAATTGTACATTTTTATTTTATGTAATAGTTTACCTTATTTGGATGGCAATGTCGGCAATCTGACGCGATCCAAAAGAAATTGGGCGGTTATACGCGCTAGTACGAATTGAAACAGTTCACGGGAGTGTAAAACTTATAAGTTATTTCAATTTTTCTTAGAAAACCGAAGTAGCGCTTCTTGCCAGTTTCTCTTATTGAAGTACTTTGCACATTATTGAATTAATTAAATTATTTATTAATTAAATTAATTAAATTAAATAAAAAGATTTTCTACTAAGAATCTTATGTAGATAGTCAAAAAGTATTCGATAGCAATCGATGAGGCGTGTTGTCTTTCAAATACTTAGTATTTAAATATCAGTAGATACAGTTAGTTTGGTATTAGCCAAAGATATTGAAGCCGTGGCTCCTGTTTCGAGTTACATACTCTAATTGAAGTATTTTATGTGTTCGGATGTCAAACTCATGCTTATTTTTACCACCTGTTTCTCAAAGAGGCAGATGACGTAATAGCGTGGGAGTGAATAAAAAAAAACATTCTTACTGTCTCGCTCTTGACTAGTGATGCCAGAATTTTATATTTAGAGAATCGTAAAAATAGTGTAACTTTCTCGATTCAATGTCAGAGTTTATCCTGATACTAAACAGATGAAACTTTGAAATATAAACAGTACAACAAATTCTTTAGTGATGATAACGTTAACGTTATGATTACGCCTGCTACAAAATCAACCGGTTTGTTGCAAATTCACGCTAAAGTTATAGGTGCCGATTTTTTTTCAAAATCAAATATGTCTTCGAAATTTTAAGGAGTATTTTTTTGATGTACTCCACTACAAACAATGCGATAAAATGTAATTTAGTTATATAAAGAGTGCAATATATAAATTATAAAGGTAAATCAGCTACTGGTAAAACTAATATGCACCAATAACAGCTGTGACACCAATTATCTTGATACAG